AAAGTTCCAGTTTTTAGAGAGTCATAATTCAACTGTTTATGATACTGTGTTTGTAGGGATTAGATTGTGTAGTGTGGGATAGAATCCAATTTCACAGTGGCTTTAGCACTTTAGACATTATTCTCTCTTATAAAATATCTATTTGTCAGGTACCCAGGATCCCTTGAACTTTGTTCTTTGTCAGCCCTAAGGGATGAATGTATAAGCATGGTCCAAAGTAACTGCTGAATAACTGGTCTTTGAATCTGTATTTCTAGTGGCAGGAAGAAGAAAAATATAGTCAAAAAGGCATAATCTTTGCTTTAGGGATACTTTCTAGAAGTGATATCCTATTGACAATTAACGTATGGCAGTGCATAGCTGCGATGAAGGCTGGGAAATGCAATCTTGTTCTTAGCAGGCATGTGCCTTGATAAAATTCAAGGGTTCTATTATTGAAAGAGAATGAACATCAGAAGAGAGCTATCAGATTCTGCTAGTATTTTTCCAGCAAATCTTGAAACCTTTGAAGACCAGGTCTCTTAAAGTTTAGAAAAAGAAGAGCCTCAGAGGCAAGGTAAAGGGAGCATTGAAGATGGTATTCTTCTGAACATCCTACTCATCCCTTGAACAACCTTCTTCCTATTAGGAACATTTCTTTTTCATCTGTAGATCCATGAACCAAAGAGACAAAATATCTCTCCTGCGTATTCCCAGCATACAGGAATGGCACAGGCCTACAATGACTTCAGTAGACACTGCCTTTCAAAAAGAGGGAAAAAAGTAGAAGCACACAGAAATCCATAGCAATTTTGAACTCTAGCAAGATGCATGTTGCCAGTGGCTTCATTAGAGGACTAGTCCTACCACCTGGGAATGAGTCAACAGGGCTCTTAGCTCTACCTTCTGGGCTCTTGGCCTCTTTTATTTTTAATAGGGAATAACCCACCTTCACCACTGAACAGTTTTCTCAGCCTATTTCTGCCCTTAGAAATTTGAGAATCTAAAAATCTCTTCATTGTTTCTATATCCTTTAGTCCAAGCTGACATAATTCTTTAAAAATCCTTGTGAGCTTTTTATTAATCAAATTATAATCTACTTCATTAAACATAATTCAATCCCAAAGATCTCTTCATGATAAACTTCCCTGCATTGCTCTTCCTAATGGGCCCTGAAAGGACAATACCTTTAAGATTCTTAGAAGGCCTTTTTTAAATTAAGATGATCTGTGGTGATATGTTCTTAAGAACTTTAGAGGTCTTAATTATTTTCTGAGGAACCATTTTTGAGTTTTTATAACAATGAATTTTATAGTTCTTTCATGTATTTGATCTTTGCTGTGAAACTTTGGCTTAATTGACAGTCTCAGAAACATTAATGATATTTTTGCTTTTAAATTGAGTTTTATATTCATCTTACTTTCTTCTACTTTTAGTTTAAGCAACAAGAAGATACCAAGTGGTACCCATAACATTCTTCCAGGAAATTTCATTAGCTAAATCATCTAGTTCATTAAGTGTATTTTCTACTTTTTACCTAATTACAAGGACCAGTGTTGCTAAAATTCTGCCACTATGGAATAGAGGTTCCTTTTCTCCAATTTCTTTTGTGATTTGCCTGCCTGGCACAAACTGCATTTTCTTCTGGTAAAAACGCCTTGAAAGAATCCCCTTGCAAGTCTTGGCAAGAGTCAATCATACTAACTGTCCTCCCTTATTCTGACCCAGAGATGAGTAGATGGATGACCCAAGAATGACAAGTCGTTCAATCTCTCCAAATTAAATCTCTAGTAGAGTAAGATAGGGTAGAAAATGGCTGAGATACAGGCATGATGGTACATGACTGTAATTCCAGCACTCAAGAGACTGAGGCAGGAGAATGGTGAATTTGAGACCAGCTTGAGCTATGTAGTATCAAGAACCTAAGAAAAAAGAAATGAAGGAAGGGGAGGAAGGAAAAAACAGAAAGAATGAAATAATTTATCCTGACAATAGTGCCATGAAAAAAACTGACCATTATTTCCTACTACCTGAATACTGAGAAATGTATTGATTCTTGTCTTTCCCACAGTCTGTCACTTAGCTTTGCTTTTATCTCTTTGTTCTACTCCTCAACCTTGAGCATATTCCTTGTTTTGTTTAAAATAACCAGAGTGAATTTCCTTTGTTTGTGGGAAAACTGAAGTAGAAATTGATTCCCATATGCAACTGTTAAAAGTGCCACTTAGAACAACAACGAGTAGTTGGGAGGTCATGGTGAGGTAGGAGACAGAGTGGATTTCCCTTTCCTGAATGAGAAGATGACTATCTTCATAAGAATGTATCTAGGGACTCAAGCAATGTGTCCACCCGGGCTGAAGATTTGAAAGAGTCAATAGAAAAATTTCAGCTGGTTAGATCAGGTTGGTTTTTATAACTCAAGATAAGTTACTACAAGTAAGAGCCAACTGGTTCACCAGAAAGCAGAGAGAGAGCAGCAGCTAAGGAAAGCCTTTTCTAACTGTGGCCTGTAATCAAAGAGGATTAGTAGTCAGATAATCTTTTGAGCTGAATTCTCTCACCCAAGATAAACTTAAAGTCCAAGCTTTGGGAAACTTAAGAAAATATAAGATAGAGTTAAAACAAAACAAAAAAAAGATAAGAAGGGATCCTGGAAAACCTTTGCTAATCCCTTCCTCTGATCTTTTCTTGCTTGGTAAAGGCTTTATTTAGCCCCCATTTTAGAGTCAAATCACTGAAGTAAATAGGGAGCCCAGATTAGTTTTATCTCTTTCAGCTCAAGCTATTGCTTATCATTGCACCAAGAAAATGAACAAAATGAAAGCTTTGTGGTCAAGTGCTGAACAACGGGCAGAACTCTAAGGTCTGTTGCTGTAAGAGAGAACATCCTAGTTAGTGTTGGATGTGGATGGAGATTGCTGTAAGAGAGAACATCCTAGTTAGTGTTGGATGTGGATGGAGAGCCTACCAGTTCTCCAAGGAAATTGTATTCCTAGAAAAACACTGATAGACCCAAGGCAACCTCTAGGCTCTAGGACTCTTCAATAGAAAATATAGTCCTAAGTTAATTTATCCCCACAAATGATCCTCCCTACTGTCCTCTTCAGATGTGACCAGTGGGCACTGGACACTGACTCTGTTCGTAGAGGAGAGAACTAGAGTCAGTTACTTGGTCAGTGATCAAGAGATTCATTCCATCACTAGGGCAGAGAGAATTTGTTATTGGTAAGTACCACTCTAAGCTGTTTTTCCCACATGGCTTTCCCTTCCTTTCCCACATGGCTTTTTTTTCCCCCTTTAAGGTATCCTGATATTCTTCCATCATTGTAAATAAGGTTAAATTTATCATTTGGCTATAGGTTGCCAATACATAAAGAGCTATTCTAGACCAATCTGAGAGTGATGCATGTTGCCAAGATATTCTAAAGTTGGAAGTAGTTCCTGCCCTAGAACCAGCAGAAGGAGGGAGTTTTCATATTACATAGAAGAGTTGCATTTCTGTGGGTTGTAACAGTTACGACATTGCATGTGTGAGGAAGAGAGTGTGTGTATGGATATTGAATGGTCAGGAGGATTATACTAGATAAATTATTATTTTTACTTGTCCCCCATGTTTCCTTTGTAAAAATCTTTCTCTTCCCAGGCTTGAGTCAAACAATTCTGGAGCTAAACCTGTACCTCTCTTCCTTGGTTGTCCCATAACCCAGACCTCGTACATAAACTTACTCTGACTCAAGGAATGATTTAGGAAAGCTAACGTGACCCCAGTCAGATCAGCAGTCAGTCACACAGTTTTTATGGAATGGTTGGAAGAAATGCTTTGTACACAAGATTGGTTAGATAAGTTTGCAGTTCTCAGGACCAGCCTGCCACCATTTCTCAGGGAAAGTGCTTGGGAATGAAGTTTGGGTGAAAGATAGAGAATAAGAAAGAGAATGAGAACCAGTGAGTGTCGTTTTTGCTTAGCCACTTGGAGGAGGCATAGTGGACATTTGTCCGGAGTACAGCACCTTGTGAATACTCTCACTTTAGTTAGGGAGTCTCTTTCCTTTTGAAATTAGACATCACAAATCATGTTTTCTGAGCTGTCCTGACAGCTGAGCTGAGTATATGTCCTACCCCCCCATACACTCGTGTGAAACTTCCCATGAGAGCAAAGTGAGAAAGAAATCCCATGTGGAAACTACTTTTGTTATTGAGAATGATGCCACTCTTGCTGGCCTTCAGAGGGGGCACTGTTGAGTCCCTAGCAGCAGAGCTGATAGGAGCACCCACATCAGTACAGCTAAGTTCTTTCTGGTGGTGCAAAGTGCAGCTTTGGGTGATGGGAAGTGGAGGCAGCCTCAGGTCTTCAGGGTCGTTGTGATGCCTGTTTTAGGCGGTGTTGGGAATATCAGCTTTGAAACTGGCTTTCCAGCTCTCTTGGCAATACTGGGACCTACCAAATACTGTTTAATAAATTTATTTTTGGCTTATCCAACCACTTAGGTTTCCGTTACTTTAAACTAAAACTTCTAGTATTAATGTAACAATGAGTAAATATTTGATATGTTAATATATAAATGAATGCATGAATGAATGCCAGTTCTCGAGGTAGACATATTCATTATATTTGTATTAGTCATCTTTGCATTACTACAAAAGAAATAGCTAAGGAAATCAACTTATAAAGAGAAAAAGTTGATTTCACTCACAATTTGAAGGTTTAAACCCAAAATCAGGTAGCCCAACAGTTTGGGCCTCTAGTGAGACTGGCACAGGGTGGAGTAAATTGCCCACATCACAAGCCAAGATACAGAGCAAGAGGACAGGACCAGGGTCCCATGACCCTTTTCAAGGGCATGTCTTCAATGACCTAAGGACCTTCTACAAGGCCCCACCTCCTAAAGTTCCATTACCTCCTAATAGCACCACTCTTGGGCCAACCTTTTACATTGGGGCCATCAGAGGACTCTTCATCCAAACCAAACCACAGTACCATTGTGCAGATGAAAAATAGGTCCACAAACATTTAGTGCACCCTGCTTTTAATATTAATAATTATAACTAATATTAATAAGCTCATACAGCTAATAAACCCTGGAGCAGAGACTTGGATTCTAATCTTTTTGTTTAAGCTCCACAATCCATGCTTTTGTAGTATGTCATTTGAAGCATGCTTTCAGAAGAAGTCTTGTGGCAGATAGAGCAGATTGACTTTTCAGAATTCATTCCAAACTTCTAGTGTGCCTTCCCATGCAGAATCTAGGAAGTTTAAAAGTGACATTTCAGACTCACTTGCAAGTTGGAACATGATTTAAGCTTACCAATTAGATGCACTTGTGTGCAAATTGAACACAGAACTGACTTAAGCCTGGTGCCAGTGGCTCATGCCTGTAATCCTAACTTGGGAGGATAAGATTGGGAATATAAAGACCAGCCCAGGAAAATACTTTGCAAGACCCCATCTCCAGAATAACCAGAGCAAAATGAACTGGAGGTGTGGCTCAATTGATGAAGCACCTGCTTTGTAAGTGAAAAAAGCCCTGAGTTCAAACTCCAGTCCCACCAAAAAAGAAAAAGAAAAAAAGAAACTGATTCAAGTAGAGAGGAAGCAGCACTGAGGCTTCATTCTGATAGCACAAATCAGGTCCAGTTTAGTTTGGAGCCAACAATGGAAGCCAAAGCTCTCTGATTTCTGCATTGTAGCAATGCAGTGTGAGCTTGGAGTTGGCAGGTGGCACAGCAACTTCTTAATTCCCTAGCTTCTTGATCATTGCAGAGACATTCTCTAGACAGTTGGTGCTGTACTGGAAGCATTGCTGAAGGACTAGCTCTGAGTCCAACAATCTCTCTTCTAACTGTGAGCATCTGATTCTCTGTACCCAGTCCTTTACCTTATGCTTCTAGAGTGGCTTCTATCACCTGCCTCTCAATCCCATGTAAAACAGCATGCACAGGAGAGCAGCAGGGCAGAACAAGTACTGCTTGTGGGTCTGATACCAGTGGGAGGGAGAGGATGTAGGAAGAATGTAGGGGAGGGTGAACATGGTGCCAATATTGTGTACACATTTATGTAAATGGAAAAATGAGACCCATTGAAGCTATTCCAGGAATGGTGAGAGGGGGATAAATAGAGTGACAGAGGGGGTAAATTCAACTATGATATCTTGTAAGAACTTCTACGAATGTCACAATGTAATCCCCAGCACAATAATAATAAAAATTTTAAACAAATAAAAAGATAAAGCAGCATGTATAGAGGTCAAGGACTACGTAACCAAGCAGCAGTATTCAGAGATTCTCAACTTTTCTCATGGTTACACTTAAGAGGGGCAGGGGAAGAGAAGTATACGTTCAGGGTGAATTTAGACAGTCTAGTAGTAAGTACCATGGCCTTTTCAGCCTTTGTACACTTGTTATCTCAAGAAGTTGAGGGTATCAGTCAAGATACTGACAGGACACAGATGCCTCATCCACACTGGAAGATTTGGGAAGACTTAAATAAAGATTATTTTTTAAAGAATGGACAGGGCATAGAGGACCACAAGGATTGTATAATGGCCCTAAACCTGAAGCAGCAAGTGGAAGGAAACCTGGAAACAGCCAGGTGTAGAGGGTGCCTTCCAGGGGCTGTGACCCATGGTTGAGAAATGCAACTCACAGGCAGAGAGCCAACAGGGAGATACCTCCCAGTCTGCCCTCCTTTCAATCTCCTGCACATTAGCTGGAAGCCAGAGGAAAAGAAGCTGTATTGTAGTCCTTCCAGGACAGCCTTCCAAGGTGGACAAAGATGGAGAATAGATCTGAGAAGTAGCATTCCAGGGAAAACAAACAAAAAACTGCCCAGCATAACAAGCTATCGTGAAGACTATAAGTTGATTTTTTTTTTAATCCTCACAGATTGAATTCATTCCTTTTAAAGATAGTCACCATGATCTGCTCAAGTGATCTGAGGACATTTTACTTAGTTTAACCCAGAGTACTATGGAATGCAAGAAGTGGAAGTCACCTTAGAAATCTTGCTGAACACCTGCATTTCGTAGGTGAGGAAACTTCAGAGGAACATGAAACGAATTGCTCCAAAGTCACATATCCAAAATAGCTGCAGAACCAGAAGGTACCTCCAAGTCTAAGGATGTCCAGTCCAGGGCTTCTTCCACTAATGGCAGCTAAATCCATGTTGGATACAAGTTATACTTATTCTAAAATGTCAGGCTGTGATGCAGCTGCAGTCTGCGTCTCAACCATCCTTCAGTCTTGGTTTATTATTCTCTTCATTTTAAACATTTACCTGAGAAGACGAATTCCAAAGATACTCTTCCTAAAAATAACTGAAAGACACACTGGAAGAAATTAGCATAGTGTGTTTTTTATCCATAATTTACAGTGTGTAATCTAAAACTGTGTGACAAAGCAATGCTTGTAGTGCAGAGAAAACTCCCCTTGGGATATTTGGTTCCATTTAAAAACACCTCGGTATGAGGGGATGAGGGAGCAGCAGCCTGTGACACACTTCCATCAGGGCAAAGTGTTATTCCAGTGATTCACAGCAAGAAGCCTGACAAACACTTTGAGTCGATATAAAGGTTCTTGCCATCAGGATAAAATGAGAATTGCAGTGGGTGGTCCCATTCTAGCCTCATGCCTCCTTCTACTTCTGTCCTGGCTTAGGTAGTTGCCCTGGAAACAGTGGGGTGGCAAACAAAACCATTTGGAACAACTTTTTAAAAAGCCTTATGCATGAAGGCTAGTTTTTATTTGCTGCTGCCTTTTCCAAAGGCTTTCTTCCCCAGAGAGGATGTGCTCTTTGGACTACCTTGAAAGACGATTCATTCGAACTTCTTTGGCAAGGTCCAGTTGGATGGCTGGCCACAGTTTGGCAAGCAGCAGGGAAAAGGGGCTTTACTGATTGTTATTTAGCTTTGGATCCCCACACAGATGGTTCTGATCTCCTCCTCCCCCACCTAAGAATTTTTCTAAAATGACACCCAAGTTTTTCTTGGCAGAAGTTATAATTCCTGGCAAACAGTTCACTGCAGCTCTAATTATGATGACAGCTTTAATGGGGAAGATAATCATATTAAATGGTTCTTACTCAGTTCCATGTGATGAATTAGTGATTACCATGAAATGCATTAAACAGCCAAAAGTAAAAGGAAAGGATACTGTACTGTGTTACAAGTTGAGGTTTGAGGAATTCCAAAACTGGGTGGGACACAGGGCAAAGTGACCTTCAAAGAGGAGATGTTGATTCTAACATCTCTTGTAACTTGTTTATTAATTAAGAAAGCCCATTTGGGGCTGGATGTAGCTCAATGGTAGAGTGCTTGCCTAGCTCATGTGAGGCCCTAGGTTTGATCCCCAGCACCAAAAACAAAAAACCAAAAGAAAAACAAAAAAAGAAACCCCATTTTCCTATGTGTCTGTTATAGGAAAAATTATCCTGACACTTGTTAAAATAGTAAAGAAGGCTTGATCCAAGATTATTGCAATAGAGGTGTAATATAATGGTCAGGTTCTATTCTCAATACAAGGACAAGTAAGGATTTGTAACCAATAAGTAGAGTGACCAAGAGGAGATATCAAGGGTAAAGGGGTTTTTGCTGAAGGCAAGGCAAGGTTTTCAAGTAACAAAGGAAAAGGGATGGAAATTTAACCATATATAAAGGGTGATCAAGTATCAAATCTTCTCAACAGGTTTACTTAGGAGTCTTGATAAAACTGGGCCAGGCAAGCCAAAGACCAGACAGAAAGGTAAAGGCCTCATCGAGAAGAGGATTTAGAGGATCTGAAAAGGTAAAAATAGAAAAGAGGAAGGAAAAAAGAAAGCAACAAAGAATGAAGGAGGGAGGGAGGGAGGGATGAAAGCTTGTAAAATTGTCTTCCATACTCAGACTATTTTGAATACTGCTACACATTTGTTTGGGAGGGGAGTGTGGATAAAGTTGGTCTTTGAAATAGAGAAAAGACATTTAGGGACAAGTATTTAGGAGAGAATCAAGCTGAATAATATTGTCATGCCTTAAAGCAAAGAGCTAATGTGTGGTGTATAAATAGGGTGACCATCATCAACCCATTTTGCCTGGCACTCTCACAGCTTTAGGAATGGAAATTTATTTCAATTTCAGGTAAACCAAAAAGGTATGCCTAAAACTGTCATGGTTTTACACTTCCATGTCCTAGGAAACCCTAGTCCTGGGCAGATCTCGATGATCCATCACCCTATTTGTAAAACAAGGTAATTCCAACGGTATTTGGAGTAAGAACACAAGGTGAACTAGATGTCCAGCTGTGACTATAAGGATTGTGTTTAAAAACAAAACAAAAAGGCCTCATTCATTTAGTCACATATTTTGTTGGTAAATAAGTACTCAACCTGACCAATATTTGGTTAATAGTACCTTTACTTAGATATTCTGGTTCAAATACAGTGCCAGCCATAGAAAAGCTTATTTATAAAATTAAAATATTCATGCACAATTATGTATGTTTTCATTTTATATTAATATATCCCTTAATGTTTTACTATAAAATTCTTACCAGGAAAGGAGACACACATTTAATTTTTTTATTTGTTTATTTGTAAGCAACAATAAATGTAGTTACTATGTATAGTAACCAAAGTGTGTGTGTGTGTGTGTGTGTGTGTGTGTGTGTGTGTCTTCCTTGGGGATGCAACCTTCTCTATCCTCTTCTTTAAATCCTACCTCATCTGCACTGTCATTCATTTTCCTAAGGGATGTGTTGTTCCTTAAGGAACAACATGGAGAAATGAATGGGGTTAGATGGCAAAGCCTTGTTCAGAAGCCCTATTACTGCTGCTTTGATTAATCAATAACTCTTTATGGTTACATTATTTTATCTTTTTTAAGTTCATTTTACATATTCCTCTATTTGTGTAAGGCCCTGCCTCCTTGGGAGGGGATGTGGTAGTGGTAGTGGTAGTGGAAGCCTAGGACATATCTGAGGCTCTTTGGAGCTAAAGAGGTGGAGAATCAAGAGGAAGCATCTTAAGGAGGAAGCTGAAAAATAAAAACCACTTAGTGCTAGGGGAAGGAGAAGAAAGGAAGAAGGAGGAGGAGAGAAGAAGAAAAAGAAGGAGGTCCAAATATGATTAGGAACCCCAAGTGATGACAAGCAGGATAGAAATATAGCATAGAGGTAGAAGCTGAAAAATGTGAAGGTAGTTTTCTTGGTTTTTTTAATAGGGTGCCATAGCCTGATTGGGCAGAGGCCTAACCAGGCCCGATACTTCTACTTCT